GGCTAGGCGGGGCCGGGCCCGTGGCTCGTCGCGCGGGCCTCAGGAGGGGCTGGGGTCCCAGACTCACGCATTAACGTGCTGAAGGCCACGACGCCGAGCAGCCCCTGCAGGAAGATGCCGAAACTGTGCATGAGCGCTCCGCTTTCGCAGCGGCCCGCCCCGGACGCGACTGTGGAGGGCGGCCCACCCGGCAGGCCGCGGCTCGCATTCCCAGCGGGACCCTGCATGGCAGACCTGGCGGGAAGGGCGCGGGGCGCGGGGCGCGGGGCGCGAGGCGCCACCGCCAGCCGGCCTCGCTGCCTGCCGGGGCCCCTCTGCCGAGCCAGGAGCCGGGCGCCCGTACCTCCGCCCGGCGGCCGCCTCCGCGCCGCGCGTAACCCGACGTCTGAGCTCTCAGCGCCTGATTGGCCTAGCCCGGCGTGGGGGCGTGCCTCACCGCTTCGGCTCTTCCCCGAGAGGCGGGACTCCGGCCCGGGCGAGGGGGCGGGGTCGTAGGTCCCCACCCGCAGGTAGACAGACCAGGTGAGCCGGGCTGCGCAGGCAGGAGTGAGACCCCAGGATCTCGAGCTCCAGGTCGGGAAGCAGGAGCAGGGACAGTCTGTGGCTACGTTTTTTTCCTCAAAGATAAGGATTTAATAATCTCTGGAGTCCACTCTCAGAGATTCCGATTCGGTTCTGGGATGGTGCCCAATAGTCTGTAGCCTGGATTATTCTGAAGCAGCCTGGATTATTCTGAAGCAGGGGAATAAAGAAAACAATCTAAGACTGCATACCGGCGTTTTCTTTCCAATCCAGACATCCTAGTACTTCTCCAACATCCCTGGCCAAAGGTTTATCAAGACCCCAAGTAGTTTTTTTTGTTTTTTGTTTTTTTTGGTAAATGTAATTTAAATGGTCACTTGAATCCAATCACTTTCATTTAGAAATAAATATTTCAGGTTTGATACGGAAAACTTGATGTGCACACATCACCTTATTCACTTAGGGGCACAACTATATTTTGAAAACGATTCATAAAAGACAAATGATATTTGCCCATCTTCAATATCTCTCTGCACACACACATTTATTCTGACTTCTTAGAACCTGCTCTCTGCCTCTACCAGGACCTCTAGTCTCCATCCTCTCATCCAGTCTCCAACTCCCCTCTGGCCCCTCTGAAGACACCTCTTGTCGATGTTCTCCAGCCCCTGACCAGAAAGCCGCATTTCAGTTAACATATGGTGTAAGTTCAGTTGACATTGAGCTGTAAATAATAGCTCAACAGTTGAACAATAAATATCATCTCTAGAAAAATTATCCCTATAAAATAGCCCCAAGTCCCTGAACATTTACCTAATAAAGAAAGGGATTGGCAGTAGTGGGATACTGCCAAGGTGGGGCTGGGGGACACACAATAAGGGTACCTGATCTCAAACCAGGCAAAGTGGGGACCAAAGGGAGGCCCAAACTTTACCTGTATGATGACCACTTGTTTACTTAATCTCAAACTGTACCCCACATCTTTAAGATAAAATTTAAAAAATTTAAAAAGATTTTTAAAAATAGCCCCAAGAAATTCAAATTATATAAGGTTAAATGCTATCTAAAAGCTTTCTTGGCTAACAGAAATATTAACCTTATTAGCCAATAAGCTTTTGCACATCTGTGCCTTGAAGTGGCATTCTAGCTGCATGGATAATGTTCCCTTTCCCCTGCTCCATGAACTGCTTCTCATGCTTCAAGGCCCACCTGACCTCCCTCTCCTCCTGTACTCCCACATTACCTGTGTGTGCTGGTCCATCAGAACTTTTCAGACTGCTAAATTTAATGGCTGTACACCTCTCTCTCCCATAGAGTGTGAACCTCCTGAGGGCAGAAACTGATTTTTATTCACCCTTGAATTCAGCATTAGTGCCCAGAACAGAGACATGCAACAAAATGCTTTTTAAAATTTAAACAGAATTTTAGTTTATAAAATTTAAAACTCTCCACAAGTACTGACATGGGCAAATGCAGAAAGTCAGGTTAAGAAAAGAATAAGGTAAAATTAAAATTGCATTACTGTTTTTTAGTCTAAGAGGGATCTTATGAGGATGCTTAACAGTTAGCAGTACTGCTCAGTGAGAATCAAGAGGATGTGTCTTAAAACAAAAGAGAACGTGATTGGGTGTAAGGAGACTATAGACTGCATGAAGACACAGACAGTTCAAGGAAAATTGCACATAGAGCTGAAAAATGAAGTTTTTGATAAAGCATTGCTCTGCACATTCAGACGTGGAGGAATCCTTAAGGCCCACTGGGGAACAAGAAGCAGTCTTCAGAGATCGGGACTAAATCACCAATGCCAGGAGCAAGGTCACTGTGGGGAAAATCTGTTCTTCCTACTTTTCCTGAACTGGAATTTAAAATTATCTAAATTCAGAAGGGAAAGGATGAGATAGTACTAGAGGAATTTCATTACAGTAGGAAGGAACTTTCTCATCCTTTCAGAAATGATTCTCCGAGGCTCCAGTGGAAAGAGCTTTGAATAATTTACTCTGGCCAAAATGCCTTCCTTACTGTCAAACCAGCACAAATAAAGTTAAACATAGCTTAAGACCTGTTTTCTTTAATTTTCTCACAACCGCTTAAAACTGCCACAAGTTTATATACAATTATATTTACAAAAAAACACGCAAAATATTCATCCAAAATAGGTTTTTTTTAATCATTTGAAGTTATACCATCTAACTTGATGGGAATTATTTAATAGGTATTCTTGTGCATATTTCTCCTTAAGTGTACTTTATCTTCAATGCATAACTTTTGGAATTAGAAGAAAAACAGCAAGCAGGAAGGATACAATGCAATAAGCATTTCATTCTGTTCTAAAGGAGTAGCTTTTAAAAAAGGGCAAAGTACATTAAGCAAAGTGCATCAGTTCTAATGAGTTAGTATTAGAAAGAGGCCTGAGGACAGTGCTGGAACCAGCCAGGAGTCCCTCCCTGGCAGGCCTCTGATTGTCTTTAGAGAATATTCAATAAAGAAAGAAAGGAAAGAAGAAAAAGAAAGAAAGAAAGAAAGAAAGAAAGAAAGAAAGAAAGAAAGGAAGGAAGGAAGGAAGGAAGGAAGGAAGGAAGGAGGAAAGAAAGAGGGAAGGAAGGAAGAAAGAAAGAAGGAAAGAAAGAAGAAAGGAAGGAAGGAAAAGAAAAAGAAAGAAAGAAAGAAAGAAAGGAAAGAAAGCAAACAAAAGAAACGAGCACTTAAAATCACAGGAGAAACACTCAAACTACCTTCCCCAGAGATTCCTGCAAAAGGAGCTAAGAGACCGCTCAGCTTTAATTTTGCCTAAGCTTTGTAACTTCCCTTAGGCATCTGTTTTGTGACTTGATTTGCCCCAAAAGCATATCCTCACGCTTTCAACACTTTTATCCACCTTCATTTTGCCAAGCTACACATGCAGTTAGATTGCATAAACCATGTAAAAAACCCTTAAGCCTGAGTTTCCACACATCCTGAGAACAGGCACCCCCATCAGCAATGGTGGCACCATTTCACTAGTCAGCATTATCCTTTTCTTCCCATGGCTCAGAGTGTGTGCTTTATTGCTGGTGTTGAAGAATTGCTCGGCAAGGTTGTGGCTTTTTTCCCTTTTAAAACAGTCCTTTGTGATAGACCATAGGACCAGGACAGACCCAACAGTGTGTTAGTCAGAAAAGATGTAAGAAGAAGGAGTTTTAGGCTTACTTTTCTGTCCCCCCACCCCCAGCCTCCACTCCTGGTTTTGCCGGTTCTTGTGAAAATCTCAGACTTCTTAAACACCATAACCAAGAAAATCAATTGGCAGTGCATTTGCCATCCACCACCTTCTACTCCTCCCCAAAGGTTGCCTTTCAAACAAGGCTATTTGTGTGGTCCGGGACAAGTACTGAGGAAGACAATCCAGGTGAGTGGGCCTGGAGCCAGATCTTTTTGGACTAAACACTGAGTTTAGAACTCTTATGCCAAAATTCCAAGTCATAGGTAGCTTATTTGGATAAATTCAAGTTTCCAAAGTATGCACATTCTCACATAGGGGTGGGAGTCATCAACTCACTAGTAAAACATTTAAAGTGAATAAAGTCAAGGAATAGTTATACTTGCAGGAAAGTGGCCTCTTTTTGGTTTTGCAGGAGGCTCTCTGTACTACAGTTTCTGAGTTAGCACTGTGACCACAACACATGATTACTTACAGTGGACCCAGTGGGAAGGAAATTCAAACTTGAAAAGGAGATATCTGGTCCCCACCAAGATTTACACTTAATTTCTCTCACTGATGCCTTCTCATTCATCTTCATAATGCCAACAAATTTCCCACTGATAATATAGACCACTTTTGAACTTGTGTGTGCGTGCATACAAGAACATCCTCAATCTATATAGGACCAGCATTCGAATCCAGGATGTGTGCCACTGTCAAGGCTAACCTCTCAATAACTCTCTGGGAGCTTCTGTGGGAATCAATCAAACCAATATATGGTATCTTAAATAGAACAGTCTTTGGTGGTAGGTGCCAAGTAAATACAAGTGCCTGTCATGGTATTCCTGATGTCCTCATCTAGATTTCCTAATGCTCCAGGTGTCCCTCAGAAACATTCAGCTTAAAGAGAGGGAAATGATTCTGAGCCCTATCCGACCTAAAGCCTCCTAGAGCTTTATTTAGGCACCACATTAGTAACTGAACTGGTACCAAAGAGTTAGTAAAATATATTCAAGTCATCAGGAAGCTATGTCCAATGCCCTTCTCTCATGGTGAGAATAATTTTACTTCTAGCAGAAAAGGCATACAAAGGCCAACTTCTGAAATGGTATACTATGCTTGCCTTTATCACAATTTAATAAATATTTACCAAGAAGCTCATCTTTTCCAGAAGTTGGTTAAGTATCCTTCCCTGACCTCATGTATGCATAACACAGATATATGCTAGGAGCTGCCTACATGGCTAAAGAAAGGCAGATAGCGTAAAAGCACCCATTAATGCATTCCCTGCATTAGCCACTTTAACTGTGCTTCAAATGAGAGATGAAGGTGGTTTCCAAAGGAAAATAGCACGGTCCCCAGAAGCCCACAAAATATAGTCAAAATGTCACAGCAAACCTGCCATGTGCTAGCACACTAACACAGCAGTAATAGTCTAATATTGGTCAGCCAGTTTTTCAAGGTCCAAAAAGATACAACAGTCCATTAACCTGTTTCTAAGCTTGTCAACTTGCGGTAAAAAATGGGTCACAAAAAACTTTCTGACCTCAGGGGGCTGTGGGGCCAACTGTGGGTGAAATTCAGACAAGTGCAGTCCCCTCACTGTGTACCTGTCACAGATTTAAGAGGTTGCTGCTCTCTCTAAAAAACAAAGTTCATGCACCTATTTTACTCC